TAAGAAGAAAAGAGATTTATTTAGTTCATAATTTTGGATGCTGAAAATTCAAATGGCATAGCATCATCCTTGCCAGGAACCCCCTGATCACATTATACTACAGCAGATCACATAATGATGGGCAGATGTGCAAACGGAGACCGAGTGGTGAGACAGGACTCACTCCCATGGGAACCAACCATGGCCCATGAGAACCACCTCAACCACTCGTGAGGGCAGCACCGCTGGGATTGAACCACCTTCCCCTAGGCCCCACTTCCAAGGCCCCATTTTCTCTCACATCAGCACTGGGTATGAAACATCTGACTCCTGAGCCCGTGGGGGGGCCACAATCCGTATCCAGACCTCAGCACCCTCTCCAAGAGGCCCTTTGTACAGATAATTCAGAAAATCCTATACTTAAGCAAACACATCTACATATATTCATAATAAACATGAAAACAAAAACAAATTAAGATTTCTCCTTGCCTTCAAATGAAGAAAATCAAAACATTCTACAGGAAAACAAATGAAACAATACACGAAGATTGAAAAGCAGATGAAAGCTAGGGAGAATACAAAAGCTACTGAAATAATTACTATGAGAGATGGATCACAGAACAATAGAAGTCCTGAGAGAACCCTTTACCCAAGAAAGGCAAATAACAACTTAAAAATACACAGCAGAAAGTGCTACTTCGAAAGCCAGTGTTACAGTAATGAGAGAATATTGATAATGTAGCTTTGGGCCTTTTGGAGCTAATAAGCTCCAGGCCAGGGTTAAAACTGTGAAGAAAAGGGAAAAGTGAGGAGTTGAGGTGAGGCAACAAGTCAGGGCTGGTGACTAGGAGATGAAGCAGGGCAGGTCTTCGCCGAGAACTGGGAGGGAGGTACCAGTGTGCAAGGCAACAGTGTAATGCTGAGCAACAGCAGAGAGGACAGCTGAGGGTCTGGCATGGCTGGAGCCCCTTGGGCAGCTTCTTCCTCTAATTTCTGCTTTACAATCTACCTCCAACTTCTCCCAGAAGCTGGTGTTTTCCTCTTGAAATATACAATGGAGAATGGGCTCTAATATTTCTGGAGGGTCCTTGAAAGCCCCCAGGTAGTATGGGCCAGGAAATAGCAGGACATTTGGTAATAAAATCAATTTGAGAAATACCATATACAAAAACTTTCTCTGCATTCACAGTGATCATTAGTATGGTTCTGAAAAATTCTGCTGCCACAGAAATCAGTTTCATTAACTCAGTATTTCCCCAAGGAACATAACAAAAAGCTATAGTTTCATGGAACCAGCTTTATCTTCACTGCTTATGGTTATTATTCTGGGCAATAATACTATTGGTCACCAAATATGATTTGGCTGATCTGATTGGCTGCCCTCACTTAACTTAAAGGGACAACTTTCTCTGAGATGAGTGTGTCTGAGAATGTTTGTGTCCTGGCCAGATCCTCTGAGCATGCCCAAGAAAAGTTATAATAATGGTTTTGTCAATCTACTTATTTGCTACAAAGCACTGTTACAAAAATTCTATTATATATTGTCATTCACTGTACTCTAATGTTGTAGGAAGCTGAGCTGATTGCCTTTTAGGAAGCCAGCAACACAAGTTTGGTAAATGAAGGTTTATGCCCATGGGTTCCAGTAAGCTGAAGATTTGGGGTGATTATATCCCTACTTTGTACAGTAGCTTCTACAGGTGAACAGTGCAAGCACTGGTTGCTTTGGGAGTGTTTCCTTCACTCATCTCTCCTCATGCTTAACTTCTAATTGTCTGAATGCCCCTATGATGCTGGACAGGTTATTATGAGTGGAAGATGTAAAACTCACATTATTTTTCAGTTTTCTGCTGGTTATCTTATGATGAGACTATTGCCTGCAGGGTCAAGTTCAAATGTCTTAATATCTACTCACAACAGCCTCTCCTATCACTTACCACCCATACACTTGCTGTTCCAGCTCCTGGAAGGGATCTGCTAGTTCCTGAATGAGCCATATGTGTTAGTCAGTTTTCTATTGCTATCACAAACTCCTGAGATAATAAACTTATAAATAGAAAAAGGTTATTTTGGCTCAGTGTGTTTGAGGTTGCAGTCCATGATCAGGGGGACCCATGCTTTTATACCTGTGGTGGGTGTCAGAAGGCAGTGGCTAGAAGCACATGCCAGAGCAAAACTGTTCACCTCCTGGGCAAGGAGCAAAAGACAGAAAGAGGAAGAGATCATCATCCTCTTCAAAGGCATACTCCCAATGACCTAAAGACCTCCCATTAGGCAACACTTCTTGAAGTTTCCATCACCTCCCTATAGCACCAGTATGGGCACATAGTCATGGTTTAACACACCAGGGATGTTGCAGATCCAAACTGACACACCATTGGTCTTACTCGCTTTCCTGTCACTGGGTCAAAGGACCCGGCACTCACTATTTTGACTCATGGTTTCAGTCCATGGTCAGCAGGCTTCAAGGCAGAAACAGGATAGTATCACAGAGGAAAGAATGCTCAACCCATGGCAACCTGGAAGAAGAAGGAGAGAGAGAGAGAGAGACAGACAGACAGAGAGAGAGAGAGAGAGACAGAGAGAGAGAGAGAGCATGCTCTGGAACAAGAATACAGCCTTCCAGGTCAGGCCCACTGACCCACATCCAACCAGGCTCCACTTCCTGACAACAACATATTCAGGTGCTCAACTCATCCAGTGGATGAGTACACTAATGAGTTCCATGTCCTATATGATTCAATCACCTCCCAAACCCAGGAGGTTTTTAGACATTTTAAATCAGAACCATAACACCATGCTTCCTCAAACCTCTGCCCTTCAACATATATACTCTGTGTTCTGCTCCTGGAAGCCCTTCTTTTCTTTCTCTGCTTGCAAAAACTTCCCCAGTGGCCAAGGCAGAGCCACTCACTTCCCCCTCTGGGTCCCACAGCACTTTCTACTGACCCTACTCCCACTGACTAAGGAAACACAGATGGTGTTTAAGAAACATTCAGTAAGCAGATGATCCCATGCACTATCATGTCTCTAGATTCAACGTTGAGAAAGGAGAGTATACCACAGCCAATCGCCAGCAATCGTCAAAGATGGTGGGAGAAAGGAGCCTGAGGTGGCACTGTCCAGCCCCAGTGGGTATGACAGACCTGGGCCCAAGAGTACTTTGTGTAATCTCTAGGGAGAAGAGGTAACTATAAATTTGTTTTTAAAATGCCTTTCAAAATTAGCATGGATTAAAAGAGTATGAGTAACAAAGGCTGAAAAGGAAGAATAAATTTGAAGTAATCCACACTGGATAGGAGACAGAGGAAAAGATGCGCTAATGGCAGTGCCCAGGCCTCTCCTGCTGGGTAGGGCAGCAACTCATTTTGTCTCCAGGGTGGAGTGGTGGCCCAGGCTGAAGGCTCTCTACCTACGGGCTCCAAGGGACAGGGGGAGAGTCAGTCACATTCCCCTGCAAGGAAGTGAAAATAGTAAATGGTTTGTTCCTGGTTCTTCATCTACTTTTAGGAAATATTTATTCTTCATATTTAACCTTCTATTATTTAATTAAAATGTAAGAAGTTTAGTTCATTGTGTGCTCAGTTCACCTTTGCTATTTTCCCCAGACTTTCTGAAATCAGAGAGATGTGAACCAAGTTTTCAGACATTTAGCTCAGCCATGCATTCAGCCTCCAGGAATTCCAGGCAAGTAGTAAAGACAGATAGCCATGAAGTAGAAATTGCACCTAATTTTTTCTGAGATGATAATTCATCAGGGAGTCAGGATTATGGTGCTCTTTGACTTACAGTGGAGTTCGGTTCTGATAAATCCATCATTATGAGTTGAAAGTATTGTAAGTTGAAAATTCATTTCACACATCTGCCCTACCAAACATCCTAGTTTAGTGACACAATACTTTGTAGAGCACAGGCTATTTTCCTTGGTGATCACGTGGCTGACTGGTGGCTGCAGCCTGCTGCCACTGCCCAGCATCATGAGGAGAGAGTATCACACCACATTATCACAAGTCCTGGAAAAGAGCAACATTCAAAATTCAAAGTACAGTTTCTTCTTGATGCACATTGCTTTTGTACCACTAAAAAGTTAAAAAATTATAAGTGAAACCATCAAAGTTGGGGACTATTTGTAATCATTAAATTGGGTTTGTTTGTAGAAGTTGTGTTACCTTTCTGAGACTAGAAGTCCAGCCATGCACAAAGGAGATCATAGATCAGTGCAATTAAAAGGAACTTCAGAGTTTATTTAGCTCTTCCCACTTTATTTCACTAGGTGGAGATTTATAGGAGGAGAAGTTAAATTCAAACATTTATAGCAAACTTGATAGACTTCCACAGCTGTGTTTCTCTAGAGAACTCAGACTCACTTTAAGATCTTTTTAAATAGCTACCATTTTTCCAATTCATTCCTACAGAATCAGGGTGGAAAATGTAAAGAGGAGAATAGAAGTGACAAAAACAGCCCGAAGCAATGGACACAAAAGATGAGTAATGGAGAAGAGACTGCCTAGGCTTATTTAGATAATTTCCCTCTAAACAAACCCTTGTAGACAGGAAACACCAAAAAATACAAATGTATGAATGGATATATTGAACTCCCCATCTCTTCTTAAACTTTGCTATGTATAGATGTAGTGATACAGTTACAGACCTTAACTGCTAATTCAATAAACGTTATTAGTGTCTGTTTTGCTAAATCCATGGAGACTAGAGTAAAAGTGAGGACATGAATATGTATTAAAAAAAAGAGCAAACATTCATTGAGGGCTACAGTGTTTTAGGATCCGGGCCAAGTATTAGCTCATTTAACCTTCACAGTGAAGTTGTTTGCCCAATCTATAGAAAAGGAATCTGAGACTTAGGGCAATCTGAGACTTGTGCAAGGTCGAATGGCTGGTAGGTGGCAGTGTTGAGATTCTGACTCAGGCTGGCCAGAGTTCCTAACCATTGTGCTCTATTGACTCCCATGAGTCATGCCTGGAACCTGGAATCAAGTAGGTGGAGTAAACCTGAACCAAGAGCTTCAGCACCAATCAATAAGGACTGCAGATGGGGAAAGAGAAAAGAATTCACCAGGAAAGGAAGAATGGAGCAAGTGCTGAAAGGAGGAGGGAGAGATATGTCTTTGGAGAGGAGTAGGGGGAAGTGCACTTTCAGGAAAAGGCCAAGATGAACATCTTACCAGAAGCTGTAGAAGAACCACGTGGTTCTAGGGTGAGATTCAACAAGTCCCAGGGAATCGATAGGTGGCCTAAATCCAGTTTAGTAGAGAAAACCACCTTGATGCAGTCAGGAAAGGAGAAGGTCCACAGATCACAAGGCAAAAGTTGCTGGTGAGTATCCACGCTCAGTCTTCCCAGTGGCTGGACCACCCCAGCCTTCTAGCGTAGCCAGCTGGACGCTGCTCTGGAGACGCCGGTCTGGTGGGTGCGAGGTACAGGGGTGAAGCCAGACAGGGCTGCCAAAACCAGGGAAGTTACCAAAGACAGTGTCAAGCTAGCGCGTCTTCTCTACACAGTCTCCCTTTCACAGCCCAAGAGTTCATCTAGCTCAGCCCCTTAAGATAAGCAATACTCCACAGCTGGTATTTACTATTCACACTCAAGGCTCTAGGGAAGTTTGCTTTCTGTGGCTTGTGCTTGCTTAAGAGAGTCATCAAGTTTTCCTAACAAAGACCCTGAGAATTCTGGCTAAACCACAGACACCAGCCAGCTGAGTGGCCCCAGTGTCCCTGGTGAATATGCATCACGGATTCAGAGGGACATTCTTTCTCTCTTTCCCACACTCTGGATTTTGTCTTTTTCTCATTTCCTGTCCCTAATCCTCCGGATGGCTCTTTTTCCTAACCTTGTCCTCCTTTCATCAGCCTCTGGTGGGCTAGTTAGTTATGTGCCCCGTAGTTCCCAGGATCCATTCCCGTCTTGCTTTAGAAGAGCAGCGCCCCCTTGTGATGGTGAATCACTTACATCAGAATCTTTGGAGGCTCTGGGTCCCATGCCAAAGCCACTGAAACGGACTTGCTGAGCCAGAAGCTGCATTTTAAAGATCTTCCAGATCAATTTTTGCTCATCAATGTTTGGGATGCACTGCTCTGGGGACAAAGACTGTGGGAACTTACAACTTTCTAATCTCTGTCTCTCCATGTAATCTCTGAAAGTCAGAGGCCAAGTAGAAGGCACAGTCACAGCGCTGGATTTTCCTTCCCTTTATTTTCTGTTTACAAGTCTGTCTTCTTCTGTTACCAGATGGGGGTCCCCAGGGCTTCTTTGCAGATCCTTGGTGTCCTGAACAAAGAATTGGACAAGACACACAGGAAAGGCAGTGAGGGTATAGATTTATTGAAGACAGAGAAATTATACTCTATAGGCCCAGAGGGGATCGGTGAAGATGGCTGATAGTGGACCTAGGAAAAAGAGAAAGGGGCCTTTAGTACCCAAAATATCTGGGTTGGCTGCTACTCATGTAAAAATGGCATTGGGACAATTGCCTTATCAAAAAAAAAATCACTTGGTCTCATGCCAGATGTAAATCTTTCTATTGAAAAACTTTCTTGGCCTCTTACTGGATGTAAATGAAGGATCATGAACAGAATCTTTTGATTGGTCATGCCCGTATATAAGCTAAAGATGAAGAATAGTCTTCTGGTTGGTCCCCTGGAAAGCACCAGATTCAAATGAAGGATTAGGAAAAGTATTTTCTGATTGGTCCCATGAACAGCACTGAATTCAAATGAAGGGCCGAGGCTATCCCTTTCTGATTGGTCCTTGTCTAGTGCCCAGGAGCCATTTTTGGGTTCAGTGTTCTGTATGTCTTCTCTTTTTAGGAAACATCTAGCTCAATTGGTTAGCAGTGGGTTTCTATGACTTCTGCCACATTCTGTCCAGTTTGTTGTCTGGTTTTTCTCCTATTTCACTTTTGTGTGACTCTATAAGGATTGCAATAGTGTTCTATACTTGTGAAAACCAGGACAAGCCAGGCAGTGCCTGGGTCACTACGGACACTTAACAAATACTTGGGGAATGAGTGAACCGTTGTTGTAGGGGCCCCTCCTTTGCCTCTTCCCTTCATTTTTCTTTCTCCCCCTTATTCCTTCTCCTTCTCTTGGGGCTCCCTTGACCTTGGGCACAAAACACAAACGTTTTAAGAGATGGTTAATGTTTAAAGGGAGAAAGTTGGGCATGGGCAGGACTGCAGTGGGTTGCTCAACTGACAAACAAATCCACCTTCTTTAGATGCTTCCTGAGCCAACAGAAAGCAGCCAGAAGATGATCACTCACACAGCAGCAGTTCAAGCCCCAACCAGCTGCCCACTCCACAGCTGCACAATGTGATGCAATAGTTCCGGGCTATTAATAGTCTCTCCCAAGGAGTCCCAAGCTGGTACTGGACAGGCCTGATTGAGGATCCTGATTTGTTGCCCCTTCAAACAAGTGCAGTTAAAAAAATTAAACTATCACTTATATATTCCGAGCCTGGGGCAAAGTAGTCTACCTTCCCCTTGAGTTCAACCTGCTTTCTGTTTAATGTCTGCATTTCAGAGGCTGCATGGGCTCTCCTTTCTTCTCCTTACTGTTGGCTGGCAATGGCACCAGCCCTGCTGATGTAATAGTAATGAACATAATGATAGTAATTCTTTAGTGGGTTTTCCTCATTTCTATTGCTCTGATACTAATAGTCACTGATTCCTTGTGTGTGGCCCACTTTAGCACTCTGCATGTTGATTGATGGAGTTACCTCCCTCTTCCTATAAGACTGACTCTCATACACACTTTTGTTACCCAAGGTCTTCCCCTGTTCAAAATGAAGAATTCTCATTGCTTACAACAGTGGTCTACAGTTTTTAAATGGACATCACTGATGTATATATTTATTTGTAAATTGTTACATGTGCTACTATTAGTTCATATAAAACACGGGCAAAGCTTACTTTTGTTGTTAATTTTTTTACAATCAAATATAAGAGGAGATCTAATATTTCCTCCAGTGGATCATTTTAACTCCTACCCTGGTGGATATCACTAAGCACAGCACTGAATCATTTTGCTGGGGTGTCAAAGCTTTCCAAGATCTGGTTCTAGGTAGTTCATCCATTCATGCACTTAGCATTTCTTACAGGAAATTATCACCAGGCACTAGACTAGGCTGAAGGGTAACAGCTCTTATTGATCAGGAACTCACAGACAAGAGAAAAACAAACCAATAAATATGTATCATCATAGAAGTTTGTGCAAGGCCTTAAGGGAGAACACATTAAAGAGATAACTATGCCTATGAGAACTAGAAAAGTCTTCACAGAGGACTAGTGAGCTGGGTCTTAAATTCACCAAATCATACACATAAGAAAGGATCTTCTAGCAGAAGAAACAGCACAGGCAAAGACATAAAGGTTATAAAAAATTAAAAAGAATGCAGTACATTCGGGAAGGGATAAGCAGTTCACAGGGGCAGGTGGGGTGTGAGAGAGAATGACAGAAGATGAAGACTGGAAAGGAAGGCTGAGGTCAAATCATGGAGGATCTGATCTGCCCAACTCGCATGTTCAAAATTTACATCGAAGTTAGAGGAGGTCATGGGAAGTTTTGTTAAAATACATTCCATCTTACATAGGTTTTTAACCTGTCTTCCATGGAAGAAGAAGAGAATATGAACTGAAAGAACAGAATTAGCAGTTCTCCCAGGCAGGTCTGGCATTGCTAGCTATGACATCTCTCTCTGAGTTCTCAGGACTGCTGTGAAGCTGATGGCCAGTGCTGCTTGGGAAGTTGTGCACCAAGAGTCTCAGGACACCAGGACACATGCTGTCCAAGTCTAAGGGCAAAGCCAAGAAAGCCTGATGTTGGGCCTAATGATGACGAGGACTTATAGTCCATAACTGGAAAGAGTGGTCATTACAAAGGCTTCTCAGGGCTCACCAGATGAAGATGAAACACTCATACTTAATCTGGAATTAGTCAACCCAAACTCTCACAAAAGAACAAAGTTTTAAAATATAACACAATGACAGATGCATCATACCAAAATTGGAGGGTACGAACTGCTCATTTCTATATCTCCATAGTTTCAGGATAGGAGATGTTGCCATCTATCATCTCCCCTCACTAGTTTTTACCATGACACCTTTGTTTTTATAGTGTTCCCAAATAAGTTCAACTCTTAGGTTCATTAGCATGTCCAATTTCTCTCCTGAGAAGCATTATCTCAGATGTCCCTTAGGTTTCATTCACTTAACCTACCCTTATTGTGTGCCTAATGGTTCCCAGGCACTGCCTTTGGCTAGGTTTTTATTTCTAAAGTGTTTTCCTTCGTAAGTACAAAGAGTGCAGGTGGCTCCATCTTTATGACAGGTACTTTGGGTTGTTCTTCCCATGAGGGATGCTGGATACCTTGTACCATCTGCACATTCCCTCTTGGGAGCAGGACCAGGCATTTGTAAGATCCTTGGTCCATGTTCAAGGTGTGGTCTGTGTTGGAAGACAAGAATTTTCCTCCACACAACAGTGCTTTACTCTGGACAGTGCTGTAACAGTGGCCTTGAGATTTTGGCTCTATGTGCTAACAAAATGAAATAATCATCAGAAAGGAAATGTGGCATTGAAATAGAACTGATAGACATCCTCCTCTGGAATGGGAGAACACTGTTACAGATTGTAATGATAAAAAAGCAAACGTGAAGGGCAGCTACGTACCCGTATGGCCTCCAGGGCAGGTGATACTCTGGGGAACATAGGCCTCAAAGTCAGACACTGCCCTGCCAATCTCAGCTGTGAACACCAGCCATCTTGTTAAAAAGCCCACACCCTTTCTGGGTCTCCATAGTCTCACTTATCTAAAGAAAATACCAGCTGGTTTCTATGTAAGAACCTCATTCTACCTCCTTGCATTTATTTTAGTGTGTTTCCAGCCATGCTTTCCAACCAATGCCTGATATTGACATTGACATTGTCCTTTGTATGAGTATATATCTGGCTGCTACCATTACTTTAGTCCAGATAGGAGTTGCTGACCCATTGAGTTTCTTTGGAAATACTTCAGAAGGGAAGAGAATGAAATGAACATTCTTTGCTACTTTCTATACTTGTCCAAAACTTCCTTTTGTAGCTCTTCTAATACCTTCAAATAAGAAGTGACTCTACAAAATGGAGAAAGAGACATGCGAAGGGAACAAGCAAATTGATTTCTCTTCAGAGACAGAAAAAACCCAGAAATCCCTGACCTACCTAATCATGGAAACTGCTTTGCTATCTTAAGTTCTATGTTTAAGTATTCTTCATCACAATGATCTTTTTTTTGGGTAAATGACAGTAATACACCCAGTTTACCTCATTAAAGAAATGATTACACAATTTAAAAACACATTGTTGATAAAGTACTATTTGTGTGCTAATTGTCACAGGTAACATTACCTACCTCTTATATGGGTGGTAGAGGTCACCAAACAAAGGCCTCTGCCCCATTCTCCCCGAGAATCAGTCATTCAGGAGCTCTGCCCAGGCAGCCCTGGCTGGAGGGCCAAGATGACATATAAAGGGTTTCATTTATATGATGGCCCAATGGACCTCTTAGGAGTGACACTAGCCAAATAGAGGCTGAAGGGTGGACTCCAGGTTTTAGACTTCTAAGCCTCAGGTGTCAGATTTAGAATAGATGTTCTGGTCTCTGCTGTGGAGTGCTCAACAAATGGCAAGTTAGTCTAGGAGCACTTGAACAAGGTGGCTCATGGGTTGAAATTCAAATAATTTCACTAGTAGGGGTCACAAATCAGAAAATACCATCAATATGCATATATTTACATTTATATATACCTCATGTATTATTTATTTGTATTGAAATTTTTCACAACTTCTGAGTCTACCTCTGTCATTTACCTGTGGCTTGTCTTATTAGCAGGGGAGGGCAAACTGCAATCTGTACATCAGATGCATCCCATGGATTATGTCTCTTCTATGCGTTTGCTAATGACCTTTACATTTTCAAGGGTTGTGTACATGCACACACACTCACACACACACAAAATATGCAACAAATGCTAGATGTGATGCACAACGTCTAAAGTACGTACTACCTGGCAATGAGAGTTAAGCTGCATTGCCAACTTGACTGGCTTGAGAGCCTCCCAGGGGACTAGTAAAACACATTTCTGGTGTGTCTGGGTGGGTCATGGAGATGTGACCTTGGGTCACACTATTTCTGGTCTCTGGCCCTTTCATCTCTGGTGCTCCTATCCTACTCTGTTTCCTAGCCATCATGAACTAAGCAACTTTGTTCCACCATAATTTGGTCTCTGCCTTGGAGCCAGCCAAACAATGGACTAAATCTCCCGAGACCATGAGCAAAAATAAACCCTTACTTCCTAAGTTGCGTAGGTCAGGTATCTGGTCTCCATGACAAAAAGCTAATACACTGGGCCTTGCATAAAAGTTTTCCAACTTCTGCTCTTAAAGATTTACTGGTCTCTCATGTACAACATGACTGATGGCTGTTTCTCATTTCATCTTTACAGCCATCCTGGGAGAGGGGTAGGATGGTAGTTATTGTGTCCATTTTGAAGGTGAGGACACAGAAGGCCAGAACAGTTAAGTAACTATTCTGAGGTCACGTTTCGTGTGCTGAGGCTGGGAATAGACCAAGGGCCCCTTGCTCTCCATCCAGGACTCTTATCAGTAGATGTCTGAGCCAGCTGACCCAGCTCCTCTGCATCAGGAGAGAAAAGTTTGAATTATATCCAAACCCATTTGAGGGTACTGGGTCCATCCACCCTTTCTTAGCAGTCAGCTCATTGGGGGAAATTCACAGCGAGTCTTTGGAAATACTAGAAATGTTTAACTGGGCTTATTATAGATTTGGGCAAGACAGGCAACTAAAGTTCACATTGCCCTGCAGTTGTGATGTCTCAACTCTCCATTAATGTCCCTCGCCTCGGGTGGCCTGGAAGGCAATGGAACTGACTTGTCCCAGATAGCTGTGTTCACCCTTGTGTTTTTTGCCCTCTCTTCCTGTACGCTCCCCTATGCACTGGTGAGCAGCTGGAGTGAATGAATGCCCTCATTATCTGCTGTCCCTGCCTGTCAGCAGCTTCCTCGCCGCAGTCCCAGAGTGGGCAGCGGGCAGCCAGTGTGGAGCACTCTGTCCCTGACATAAACAGCCAAGCAGCCTTGAGTAGTGGCTTGTTCTCCTCCCTGTGCCCAGGCAAGGTCTCTCCAATACTGTGGCCCCCCTGCTGCCCCAGGGATGAAGAGGGGCTTTGTACCCTTGATGAAGACCAGCTCTTGCCTAATCCCTTTGAACACTGCTGAGTAGAAACATGAAATAAAGATGTACTAAGGGCTGGGCTCTGAGTCACCTAAAGTAGGAGGGATTGGAGCTGCCTAGACCCTGACCTGTCTGCTTGTCAGGGAACATTTAGGAAGCTCTGATACAAAAGGCAGGGTGCCAGCCTGGATGGCTTTAGAGGTGCTTCTGGGAACCTAAAA